CCCCCCCCCCCCCCCAAGAGAGGGTCTTTTTTTTGTGGGGGGGTTGGGGACCCCCCCCCCCCCAGAGAGGAGCCCTTTTTCTGTTTGGGGGGGGTTCAGGCCCCCCCCCCCCCCCCCCTAGCAGCAGGGATGAGCTTAGTTGTTAGTTGTGCAGGGGGGGTAGCGAGCAGAGTGCGGCCGCTCCTGTGGGGCGTTGCGACCTCGTCCAGTTGCCGAAGACGCCGTCGCCCCGCTGGCACGGGTTGGTCTCCGGGTCGTGTGCCCGTTTCGGGTCCTTGCAGCCGAGCCTCACCTCCATGACCTTCGCCGAGGCGCCAAAGGCACGGGCGATGTCCGCGACGTGGGAGATGAGCGAGGTGTGTCCCGTGGCCAGCCAGCCGCCATAGTTGCACCCGTCCCAGTGCGTGCCGTTGAGGTGCTCGAAGAGTGACAGCGTGCGCGGCTCTTGCGCCTTGCCGATGTTGCACGGGATGCATCCTGGTAGCTTCGAGCGGTGGTATATGCACTCCGTCTTAGCGCCCACGCCGGTGCAGCGCGTCGCAGGGGTGATGGCGCCCTTGGGGTGGTTGAGGTAGCCCTGCGCCTCGTAGAGCCACGCCTGGTCACTGTCAGCTGTGTGTCTCGCGCCGTGCGGGGGGGGAGCGGAAAGGAGGAACCTCTTCCCAAGAGCACCACTCTTGGAGCGCCGACACTACCACCCAGAGCGCTGCAAGCAGCGTCGGGCAATGACGGCTTACCGCCCACCCAGCCCCCCCTCGGCACACCCCGGCAGCCAATGTGTGACGGCTCGAACCCGCTAAGCCATCCCGCAAGCGGGATGGCCCGCCACTCGAACCCGCAAGCGGGCGTACGAACCGCGAGCGGCTCGCACTCGTTCGTGCATGCAGCTCCAGCCGTTCCCGCACCACAAAGGCCCAAAGGGTCCGGGTTGATCGTGATTCTGAGCACCCCGGACCCGGCCTCACCCCCATCAGCACCTCGAACTTTCGTGACACTGCGATTGCGCGTTTTGATAGGACGTCTATGTCCATCTCGCTCGTTCCCTATGTATCTGGAAGTGAATGCAGTGGGGGGAAGGAGCTGGAACGAGTATCGCCGAGTTGAAGGCGGCTTCCTACTCTCAGGGACTCCCATTCGCGTTGACGCGCCGCGGCCCCTCCTTGTGCACCCGGCACCTCCCTTGGGTTGTGCTCGCGAGGCGCAGGGGTTGACTTTGCGCAATGCCCGCTCCGTCGCCGCTGGCCATGCAGCGGCAAGGGCCCACGCCGGTCTGCGCCACCGACGAGGAGGCTGCCGCTTGGGGAGCCGAGTGGTGGAACAGGTACACCGTCAGTGCGCACGATGGTGGCCTCTACACCGATCCTAAGGGACTGTATGGTCTGCTCGAGGATTCGGGCGATGCGGCTGCGTTCGCGCCTGCGCCAGTCAAGCTGCTCAGGCTGAGTTGGGTCCTCGCCCGCGCCGCCAAGACAGATGAGGAACGGCGAGTACTAAGGATGCCGCGGAGGCAGGACCTGTTTCAGACAGAGCCGGGTGCCTTTCTGACGCCTGACGAGGTGCGCGCGCTGGGGCGAGGCCATACGGGCGAGGACTTCGAGACTTGCGGCTGCTACCCGGCTCTGTCTGGAAGCGAGGAGAAACAGGGGAAAAAGGCGGACAAGCCGCTCCGGCTGATCTCGATCTCACACGGCTGGCTCACACCTGAGCATCCCGATCCGTACGGGGAGCAGCTTGTTAACTTTGCCGACCTGGTGCTCAGGGAACGGATGCATATTGTCAGCTGGAGCGAGCACGCCAGCAACATGAACTGCTGCGGTTGCCATCAATCCACCTGTTGCTGGGTGCCCATGGGGGGCCAGCAGTGCTGCTATGAGACCCGCCAGCTCCCGTCAGGCGAGTTTGGGGTCTTCTACGACTACGCGAGCTTGATGCAGAAAGACGCAGCCGGTGAGCGAACGGCGGTGGAGAAGGCTGCATTCGCCAGCGCCCTCGCTACAATGGGTGTGTGGTACGCCCACAGGCTGACGACAACCTTCATCCTTAGCCGGTTGCCGCCAGGCTGGCCACGCCGTTCCGAGGACGCGCCCTACTTCCCCGAAGGGTGGCTCCACGGCAAGGGCTGGCCCACTTTTGAGCGCTCGGTGAGCAATCAGATCAAGCCGTGCGACCAGAGCTGGAGTAGGATCGTCGATCCGGAGGCAAAGAGTCAACCCTTAGCGAGAGGATGGTTGGAAGATCATTCAAACTGGATGAGGGTCGGTGCTAGAGTTCGCGAGCCACCGCTGCCCCCCCCCGATTTTGCCGCGAAGTTGGCGCGCACGATTTTCGCCAACGGTAAGGCGGACTGCGAACTCGTCGCCGGCCTCTACGCGGACACTCTCGCCGGCGCGTTCAGCCATGCGCGCACGCTTGAGTACGCGCACTCGGGATGGGGCGACGCGGAGGCAAAGATGTTTTCTGCTGTGCTGCCGTTCGCGACACGCGCTCAGCTCCTCGCCATCCACGGAAACGAGAATATCAAAAAGGCAGGCTTGGATGCGATTGCCCAGGCCCTTTGCGACGGGGCAGTGCCAGAACTGAAGAGGATCAAGTTGGACCACGTTACGTTTCGGTCCGAGGGGAGCCTCTTGCTCTCCGTTTGCAAGGAGCGAAACATCTTAGTCGACGGAATGAGGGGACCGTACCTTGTTGCAACCAACCGTAATCCCACCTCTTCGCCCCCCCCTCCCCCCCCCCTCGCGGCTCGTGTTCTTGAGCGGTACGAGGCGGTTGTGTGTTCACCGCGCCGCCTGGCTGGCAGTACCCAGTAGGGTATACGCCGGTGAGACCAGGTGACCAGCACTGTTTTGGTGCCGACCATGTACCGTAAAGGAAAGCGTACATGAACGCGGCCCGAAGAGACAAAAAGAGCTGACGAGAGGAGAGCGAGAGGCTGAGTGTGGGTCGCGCTGCGTGCTTGTATACTCGTCAGCGC